TCCAACTAGGTGCCATCTGGAATTAGCTAACTTGAAATCAATGAAGAACCACTGTATAAATGCACCTTTTTCTACAGACAGCCAACACTCCATGCAGAAGGGAGGGAGGCAGAGGAGTAGTACAGGGGAGAATCCGTTACTTCAAGGATGGTTCCTGCTGCTAAAGAAAATGGCCTCAATGGACCAAGTCTCCTCAGTGGATGATGCTAGGGGAAAGGCTAGACTTGGTACGACCTGGTTTTCATCTCGCGCTCCAGGGAATCTCTGTGTCTTTGGGAAAATTCCAGGTAACTTCCCTGATGTTCAGTTGGGTTTCTTTACCCCATGAAGGGAAAATGAGCCCTACCTTACAGGGTTAAATAAGGTAACAGGTGAAATGCAACCCACAAGCCTGATACTTTGTAAGTAACAGTGCACGATATCTAATGCTACTGAACTTCGTCAGCCTATACTAACTTCTCTGAGCCCTTCTCCTACTACTTTTTCCTCATTCACTGAGTCACAGGCAGCCACGTCAAGCGCATCCCTGCCCCAGTGCATTTGTACTTTCTGTTCCCTTTGACACATTCCTCCAGATGAAATAAATGGCTGATTCCTGTCTCTGGTCACAGAGCACATCTCCTCCTTGGAACCTTGGCTCTAACTACCCAGTTGACAACATTCCTTTGACATCTCTATTTTATAATGCTCTTTATAGCACATGTCAGTATCTAGACTTGTCTAATCCATATAGATATGTCTTTTTGTTTATGTTCTGGTTCCTGAAAAAGAGCAGAGACCTTGTCAGTATGTTTATTAATGATCTCTGGCAACAGACCCTGGCTCATAACAAGTGCTTGGAATGTGTCCCTCTGAATGCTGAGGTGCTTTTGAGATAGTTAAGCCATAAAACAAACAGAAACCAGCTAGCACCAGCAAGTATTAAATCAATGCTAGTTTCCCCCGACAGATGAGTCTGGAGATTGCTACTGCACAATGAAGACAGATATTCTGGAAAGAAAGCAAGAAGGGGAGACAATCTCTTGGGGTGGGCTAGTCTGAAGACTTGCTTTGCAGGAAGTTTCTGAAGTCTAGTACTCTGCCTGGACATAGCCGGTGCTTCAAGGCTGAGGAAGCTCAGATTTTCATTCTAGGAAGGACATTTCAGGAGATGGTGTTCTCTCTGTATGGAAGAAGAGATTTTTGCGAGTGCAATTCTGAGGAAAGAGTGGTCACCTGGAAAAATAGCTCTTAGCAGTGCTATGAACACTGCTTCCGAAAAACTAAGGATGGGGAAAGACAAGCATCATCACAGACCTTTGGAGGTTATTCCCTGGTCTGGCTGTTTAAGGCTTTAGGCTCCCAGGAAGGTTCCTTCCAGACATGGATGGGCAGAGATGGGGTCCACACTTGACTAGTCTCCATTCTGCTCGAACTTTTGGTGCAATGGCATTCCTGGTAAATTTGTGACTTGAAGAGCTATTCTTGGGTATGCCCTGCATTTTATATGTGAGATGATAGAAGTCCCAAGGGTTAAACAGAAGAACTGGTACTAGCCCTCTGCCCTCTGACTGCTGACGAGGGTCTCTCCACCATCCCGCACTCAGAAGAGATGGGACCTGGATTTCAGTGACAACAATCTGGGCATGAGGGACCTGAACTCCAGGCTTCTGGATGACTCATGACATGCCCCCTCCCACCCAAAAGGTTTCAACAATGAGCTACATGCTTCACTTCCATCCAAGACTGCTGTCATACTGCCTTGAATGCTCCCTGTGGTCTGTGCCTGGAGAGTGGCTGGATGGGATCCCCATCCTCTGCTTGTGGGGTAACCATGTCAGAGAGCTCAGTCCTGGTGCTGGAGGCCTTGATGGAGATGACATAAAGACAGGAAGGCAGGTGGCATCAGGAAGCATCATGTTGTCTAAATACCCTGGATTTCCAGCTTTCCTTTGAGGATAACCTGCTTCAGAGACCGAAAATTCTGCAGCTACCACCCACAGCCACTGGAGGTGCCTTGGGTTCCTGGGGGCTACAGAGAAATTTCATGGAACTGAGGCATGGGGTTGATTTTGGCATTTCATTGCATATTCAAGATTCAGTTATTAGTTTTAGGACTTAAAATTTCTTTTAATATATAATTTATATAAACATGTACAGTATGCACTCATATTAGCATATGTGTAACTTATCAATAAATATAATTTACCAATAAAAAGATCTATGTAGGCTCCTGTTTTTTCCATAACACATTCCTGGGAACTGCATCAAAAAGTGGAAAAACATGAAGCCAAGGATGCTTTCTATGGAAACAAAGTTGGAATCAGGGATCCTAGCTTCAAATAAATCACAGCAACAATTAATCGTCTCATAAAACCAAAGATACAATTATCATTAAAATTTGTAATCTTTGAAATTATAAAATGAAGTTTCATGTTCTATATAACAGGCACACATGTACTTTACATGTTTATTATACAAGGAAACTTCAGTGCATTATAAACTGTATGAGTGTCCCCACTTGTAATTCTTCTTTATTAAAAATGTAAAAATAATCAAGGTGCTAGCTAAAATAACATTAACCCATCATTAACGATCATTTACATGGACTATCAGATCACAACAAATCCCAAAATTTATCTGACTCAGTATCTTAGCAGACTCTCTAGGTAACATTGTTGCTAGTTGGTCATTCATAGTCTGGTTCATGTTTGATTTTTTTTTAATGGAAAATATATATGTTGAATTTACAGCATGGGAACTATTCTGTTGGTCCAGGTATTTTTTCCCCTCCAGTTTCACATTTCAGGACAAGCAGGCATTTAAATATATTCCACTGAGCTTGAAGTTACATGAAAAGTTAGGCTCATTCTCACCCAAATTATCTGTAGTGCCCATCTCTCCCCATCCATCCCTATACTTTCAGAACAAAATCCCTTTAAATGAGTGTTTGTGATAGATAAATTTGTATGTTGGGCAACCTGAAATGATCAGACAAGGAGGGGTGAATATGGAAGAAGTGATGGCTAAAGAGTACTCCTAGGGTGTTATTATTTAGTTATTTATTTCAACATAGAAAGCTCATTCTCTAGACCGGTTCACCTCTTGGTGAATAAATTCTTAGTCCTTGAGTGTTCAGGTGCAGCCACAGTCATCGGAAACAGCCAAAGTGATAATAAACCAGTGGAATGGCAATTTATGATTTACAGAATGTTTTCACAACGTTGTGAAGTAGGCAGGAGAGATGTTCTCTGAGGCTGGTGACATTCAGCTGCTAGTTCAATTTGCTCCTAAGTCACCCTGGTGCATGTGACCTCTGTGCCCGGCTCTCCCCTCAGTGTGACCACGAGGTAAGCAGGTGGAGTGTGCGGGCAGCCACAGCAGAGGAGTGGGTCTTATCCCAGGGTCAGAGCTGTCGAGACCTGGGAGCTGGCTGCCCCTGTCTTTGTATTAGAAAGGGACCATCCTCGAGCAGCACTTGCCTCTCCCTATTGGTGGTGGAGGAAGATAGTGATTGCAAGAGAGCAATGGCTGGAAGAATCAAAGGGCATTGGTCCAGTCACAGAGGCAAGGTGTAAGGTGGAACTCACATCAACTTTCTTCAAATGTGTCAAAAAATGGGCCCCCAGCTGAATATGCCCCACTGATCAGGGAGAGTCCCATCTACACAGGGTGCATGTCAGTTTGGAAAGAGACTTCTCAACAGCATTCAGGAATTCTGAAGAGTGTTTCTCTTTTGGAGGCTGTTTCCCTTCCCAAAGGCATGGCTTCTTCCCCTGAGAAAAACTAAGCCTTCACAGGACAGAGAGTTTTTCTCCGCATTTGGATGGTTTGGGCAATCTTCCTTATTCCAAGGTCTCTTTTCTGTTGGGTTCCATTCCAGAACTAAAGTAAACACCAGTGGAAATGATAACTGACACTTCATAAGCAGCAAAAGAAAAAAGAGTGTGATAAATCGTCCTGAGACGCTGTCAAACCACAGCCAAGATCAAAGTCGGAACCTCACAAGGCTCTGGGAAGCGGCATTTGTCTCCCTGGGACCTTTGCTCTGGGGCAAGAGCCACAGACTCAGTTTTGAATGAAAGACATTCAGGTTCATCTAAAGGGCAAAGCTGGCAAGGTCAGGGTTCTAGAAGACCCAAATGAAGAGGGCAGTTCCTTTGAAACAAAGCCAAAAGGTAGGCGGGTCATGGCTTTTTGAGGTAGCAGATGGCTGTGATAGCATCCTGTTGTCCTAGAAACAGAAAGAACTCTTAGAGATCCCCTAGTCCAGACTTGAGTTGACAGACTCAGAAAGGCCCAGACACGGAAGGATATTATTCAAGGACTCCCAGCTTACTAGGACCAGAGCCAGAGCTGCAACTTCGTCCAGTCCTGCTGCTGCATCCCAGCACTGCTGGGTTCTGCCCCTGCACCTGGGAGCTGCATGCAGTTGAGGGTTCACCCAGGGTGAACTTCCAACAGTTCTCTCCTTCGGGAGCAACAAGGTTAGAGGGAAGAGTTTTAAAATGGTAACCGTGGACTTCACCATGAAGCTCAGGGAAAAGATTGCAACATCCTTAACAAACGCCTACGGTGGGTGCTGCCAGCATAGCCCAAGGCGCTTTGGAGAAGGCGTCCCATTCTAGCCAGACAGGAGGGTGAGCATCTCCAGCAGACAGGACTGTGGCCACAGCATGGGGAAGCTTCTGTCTTCAGCTTCCCTGCAGGTTGCCGTGGAGACAATTTCCTCCGGCAGATCTCCGCCCCTGTGTCTTCCAAGAAAATATACGGAGAATGTTCTGAAGAGAGCTGACACTAACATGAGGCAGAGCCAGTGGAAGACTGTGGCAGACACAAGGTTCGCCCAGAGGATGCATGTCTGGACTCAGACACTGGGAGGAGAGTGTCAGGCACAGAACAGAATGAGAAAGAGACGGGGCATGGGGGAGGGGGGTGCATGAGAACATGGCAGTGACGGACCAAGCAAGTAACAAGGAATACAACTCTGACTAGGACAGGAGCAGGGAGGATGTGTTTGGACGCTGTGAGAAGACACAGCAAAGAAGACATATCTGGAGACATCTATGATGGAGATAGACACAGTGAGTGATTGTGCTTAGGGCATGAAACAGATCAGGAACAGCAAGGGGGACATGTCAGAGACACCAGAGACTGTGAGGTAAGAGTAGAGACTCCAGGAAGAAGGAGTACTGAGAAATGAAAAGTGAACGATGAGCCCATCATGTCCCCTGACTCCCTCAGTGTCACCTTCTGGAATCTCCAGGAAAAACCCGGTGTGCACAGGGCTTGTATTGGCAGATGGGGGGCCTCGGGTGAAGGGAATACCAGATGCAGTCCCACACAAGCAGCAGTCAGGACCCGGCCCTCTCTCGGAGGTATGGCTGTCTTCTGGGTCAATGTCCTGGGGGCCTAAGTGTCCCCGGGCTGAGCAGCCACCAAAGGAGAAGTTGCTGGGGGGTGGCACTGACTCTCCCATGGGCCACCACACTCCACTGCATCCCTAGAGAGAGAAGATCACAGAGCCTCAGAGTAGGAATAGGTGTTGGGGTTACCTTGTGAGAGAGCCCACCCATGCAGGAACCCTCTTATGCCACATAGATAGGCTACTGTTTGGCCTCTATTTAGGAAACTCACATGAACTTTGAGCACTGCTGACTATTAGAAATGGCCCACTAAGGTTTAGCCAAAATCTGTCTCCCTACTTTTTCTTTTTTTTTGAGTTGGAGTCTCACTCTGTCACTCAGACTGGAGTTCAGTGGCACGCTCATGGCCTGAAGCCTTGGCCTGCTGAGTTCAGGCGATCCTTCTGCCTCAATCTTCCAAGTAGCTGGAACCACAGGTGTGTACCACCACACCTGGATAATTTTTTTAAAAATTTATTGTAGAGACAAGGTCTCACCAAGTTGCCCAGGCTGGTCTTGAATTCCCCGAACTTAGGTAATCCTCTCATCTCTGGCCTCGCAAAGTGCTGGGATTACAGACCTGAGCCACCATGCCCGCCCTTACAACTTCTACCTGATGAAACTATCATGTCTGCCAGGCCCACTCAAAATTCTGTCCTTTGCTAATTATATCTTCCAAATTTTCTCTTCTTCAGGCTCCACACTCCCATTTTCTTTAAGAGTTCATTCTATATTATGGTTTCCAGATTATTTTCTGTAATGAGCACTGTCCCCTGAACACAATTTATAGTACGACGATCTCTCTTGACATGGTTCTAGAAAAGAGCCCAAATCTCCACAGCGAACTTCACTTACATCAGGTACTTTCATCATTAACTGAGTTTACCTCTGTGAATGTGGTCAAATCCAGTTTTCTTTCTTTCTTTCTTTCTCTCTCCCCTTGCTTCCTGCCTTCCATCCTTCCAACAGGATCTCACTCTCACCTAGGCAGGATCATGGCTCACCACAGCTTCCAACTCCTGGGCTCAAGTGATCCTTTTGCCTCAGCCTATCAAGTAGCTGGAATTATAGGTGCATGCCACCATGCTCGGCCAGTTTTTCAATTTTTTTTTTTTTGGTACAGCCAAGATCTCACTCTGTTGCCCAGATTCATCTTGAATTCTTGGCCTCAAGTGATCCTCCCATCTCACCCTCCCAAAGTGCTGGGATTACAGGTATGAGTTCCATGCCCGGCTAAATCCAGTTCATTTCAACAATGGTAATAAACTATTGGCTTATATTGAGTCTGTTGCCAACTTTTATCTTTTTTTTGACACAATGGCTTTCGATTCTTGAAGTTCTCTATTATATTGGTGCTGCTGATTCTATTTATTTATTTGAGCCAAACTATAGACCATTCCATTTGTCTCAGCTAAACTTCATTTCAGTCCATTGAGATCATTCTAAATCACAACCACTTCAACTATACCATAAGGTTTTTACAAGCATGCAGGAAGATCAGAGGATCTATAATACTACCTAGGTCTTTCAATCAGTATCATCAGGACTTTGGGCTTTCAATCAATGTAAAAAATATTGAGCATGGTAGGGCTAAAACAGACTCTTGGTACCCCACAGCAGACTTTCTTATAGTTGCACACCTAACATTCAGCATGCCTGGGAATGGACCACCAGCAGGCTTTGTCCAAGGCTTTGCAAAAATGTCTCTGCAAAACAGAAAATCTGTCCTAACAGATCATGAAATTATTTGGCATGAGTTATTTTTAAATGAAACGACACTGGGAGCCAGGACCCAGTGCTGCTGATCTGGGCCCCTGGCACCAAGGCCCTGCAGTGTTGGTGCCCTGAAAACAGAGGAGGAAACTTCACTGAGGTTGTTCCTGGACATTTATCCTACACAGGCCCTGATAGCATCCCAGGTGGAACCAACATCTGCTAGGTCAGTATGAAAAAGAAGATGTGGACAAAAGTAAATGGACTGTTACTACCTTTTCCATCATGTCCCAAACGCCAACGTACTTAACCATATTTGCTATATGTGACTTTGACTATGTCAACAGAATGGAAAGAGGCAAGAAGAGATCAGAAATGAGTGAACAATCAGAGAAAACCAATTCCATTCAAGAGGGACACGCAGATCATAGTTCTCCTGAGAACAGCTGTGAAATTAGACGAAACAACTGGTATGATACACAGATTTTATGATTCCATGTCATTTGGGGACTTCCCATTTGAGGATCTCTGAGATGCCCATGGACTTGGGTGGGAAGGTGGGCCTGGCCAGGACATCACAGGAAGGATCTCTGCTCCCCCATGCCGTTGGAGCTTTTTCTCATCTTCATTCTATTCGCTGTTGAGCTGGTGTCCCCTCACATATCTTCTCCCACCTCTCATGTCTCCTGACTTTTAGCCCAGTGTTCTGTGCAATAAAATCCTGTCCTCAGAGTAGAACTTGTAGAGAATAAACTCAAATGTTTTTATTTAACAAAAACAACAAAAAAGAAACAACACTGACTTTTGCTCACAGATTTACTTGTGTAATACGTGTCTTGGAATTCTGGTATTTCAAGCTACCAGTCTATAGTTTCTGGAGTCTAGCTTTAGTCATTTTTTAAGAATTTGGGCAATATTTATGGGTCACCAGCCTTCTACCTAGTTCCTAGTCCTAGAAGAGCACCATTCCGAGATGTGAGGCAGCTGGTTCCTTTCAGCCCTTGAGATGTTATATATCTTGGCTCAGAGACAGTTAACTGCTTTCCATCCATCCTGGAGAGCAACTTTCTTCCCATAATGTTCTCTTTCCAGTTGGAAGTCTATTCTTACTAGAGCAGAATATGCAAGATTTCTTCCCTAAATAATGAGACCTGACTATTTCTGGGTTAGATCTGAACATAGCTCTGATATAGCTTTTGTCCATCCTCGATGCATCCTTGCTTATTACTCCTGCCACCAGATTTTCCACACCCCATTTTAAACTGTACACTCCCGAGATAGCTCAAGATGTGCCCGCGTGCCTTTACAGGCTCTCTTACGTGTTTATTCATTGAAAAGAAGAATGAATGAAAGGAAAGAAGGAATGAAGGACAAAAAGGAAGGAGAGAAGGAAGGAAGGGGTGGGGAGGGAGGAAGGAAAGAGGAAGAAAAGGAGGAAGGAAATGAAAGAAGAATTTCTCATCTCTCATTGGCCAAATTCCCTTTGTATACTATTTGTTATTATTGTCATTATAAGCAACAATACAAACAACCACTATTAGTGCAGCACCAGTGTGTCAGGTACTGGACTGAGGGCAGGATATACATTAATTCCTGTGTTTTGTACCCATTTAACAGACAAGAAAATCAAGTTTCAGAGAGGTAAATAATTTGCCCAAGTGAATACGGTTAATAAGTGGCAGGGTCAGACCTTACATTTAAGTCATCTGGTATCAAAATCTGTGCTCCTAATTGTTCTGCTACACTGTCAGTCATCATCTTGAAAACTACTACTGCTAAGCACAGCTTTCAGGGGCTGCATCTCTAGCTTTTCCTTGTCACCCTGTGGTGGTATCCACGGTGAAATGAATATGTACAGGGCGCATGTTTTATCTGTCTCCCTTGCGGGAAGCCTACAGTGTGATGGGGCTTCTCCTGCTGCAACACAGTATGAGTGTGGCATTAGCATGGGATTCTTCCAGCTAATCCTCCTGCCCATCACAGGACACTCATTGCCACGTGGAATCTTATATCTTCTGCAATGTAGAACTAGGGGAAACTAAGCAGAAAGGAGAGGAGAACTGCAGAGGCAGGAGGAAAGTAGAGGAACACAGAGCAAGGGGCTGGGTGAAGACATCATGAAGAATGAGGAGTAAGGGTGAGACAGGCAGGAAGGTCAGGGCTGAGGACAGCCATGGGCTCCGGTACACACAAGACACCAGAGTGGCTAGAGGCAGGGGAAGGGATTCTTTGAGAGGTTCCTCTCAAAGTTCGTATTGGCTTCGCTGTACAGTCCTTCCAGAGAGCCAAATAAAGACGGAACAGTCTAGAACTGCTATTCAATGCTGGCGCCACTCCTTTTCATTCAGGCTATCTCCGCATAGCCCTGACCATGGAGAAAGGACAACGGCCTAGCCTCTAGCTCCTTGGAGGGCTCCCAGCCATCTCCCTCTCAGCAGGGCAAATGGGGACGTCAGAATAATGACAGGGAACTCTTTCGTTCCAGATGGCCCCCAATAGTCTCGGTTTACAGCTAGACTCACAGTTAACAGTTTAGTGTCATCTGCCTTTTAGGTCTTCATGAGAGATTTTTTTTAAAAATGGTTCATTATGCTGCACCGCAAGAGACCTCCCACTGGTGCAATAGATCACACTTGGTACACATGGCTTTGACACTCAGAGAACCCTCTCACTCTCGCTACAAGGTCAGCAGAGAAAGCAGGGTGTGGCAAGGTGAACAGGAAACCAGAAGACAGGGATCTAAGACCTTCTTAGCCTTCAGCCGGGTGATTCTGGATGACTTCACCCCTCTCTCGTGCCTCATTTTCCCCAGTTGTTTAATGAGGGGGAGGATGGTCTATGAGACCCTCTCCAGCTCTGACATTCTGATTCCGTGAGTAGCAGGGATGGTGGGTGACAGACACAGGCCTTCTGATTGGGCACCAGCTGTGTGTGGGACTGTTCTCCAAAGCTGTGGGTAATTGCCTCAAATTTGGCTTTTAATATTCTATTGTTAGTATCTGATACTTTCTATTCCGTGTGGAGGGGAGAGGTTTCACTTGGAAACACAGGACAGGTCATTTTTGGATTTGTATTAAAGAATCTCAAAGACCTCAGTTTCTGAGTCTGTGAAACTACATTGCAAAGCTGTTAAATGTATCTGGGTAGGCTAAAACAGGGTGGGGCTGAGATGCCACAACTTAAAATGCAGTGAGATCACAACTGTCTCTCCTCAGACATATGTTTGATCGGAAACATTGGCAGAGCCACTCAAATCCCTGATGCGAAACATCATTAGAAGAGAATCTTTCTCCAGAATTTTAACAGATGAGTTTTTTAAATGCATTCTCTTGTTTTAATAGTTTTGGTCAAATCCTTTACAGTTTACAAAGCAATGTCTTATATTTTTTCACATTTAATCTTCAACACCAATCTGTAAGGAAAGAAGGCACCGAGTGTCATTCCCATTTCAGAGCAGAAAGAAAGTGTGACACAGGGGCACAGACTGCCTACTGGAACCAGTGCTGTAAAACAGGCTTCCTGCCTCCCAAACCATGGGAGTCATGGAAATCATCTATGTAGTGGGAGGAGTTTTGTGATGAAATTTAATATTAACAGCTAATGAAACAGACTTACAACTACCTGTGTTCTAAGTAGAGGGGACGAGGAGAATCACTTACAAGTCATCTTTCTCAAAGGTCCAAAGACAGTGTGCATGAGAATGACACTTGGTACCCTACCAAATACAGATTCCCGGGGTCAGCAGAGCAGAGATCTGCCTTTTTAAAAAAACTGCTCTCACAACAGCTTCTCTTATACACACAGGAGACGAGATTTTCGGAGCAGTGGAGATCCAGTTCTGCTATACCCAAGGAAGAAGACAGACTGGGTGGGGGAGGGGGGCGTAGAGAGAAAGCACAGGTGAGTCAGAGGGCCAGAGCTAGAGGTATGAGGCAGCCGGGCTCGGTGGCTCAGCCTGTAATCCCGCGCCGTTGGGAGGCTGAGGTGAGTGGATTGCTGAGCCCGCCTGGGCAACTTGGCGAGCCCTCATCTCTACAATAAATCAAAAAAGTAGCTGGGCGTGGTAGCGTGCGCCTGTAATTCCGGCTATTTGGAAGGTTGAGGCGGAAGGATCACCGGAGCCCAGCAGGTTGAGGCTGCAATGCCCGGGGGCGGCCACTGCACTCCAGTCTGGGTGACAGAGTGACACTCCAACTCAAAACAAAACAAAACAAAACAAAAACCCAGAAATATGAAGCATCAGTGTTGCTCCAAAGGGACAGGAATGGAAGCAATGAAATGCAACATCCATTCTAGCAAAGTGGACAAGGGGATATTTACTGGGGTCTTTTAAAATGACATTGAAGAGATAAGGAAAGAGATAAGAAAAGACTTGGTGATAAATCATGAACATGAGAAAACAAAAAATATGAAGAGGGATGCACTAAGCAATATTTTGGATGTTCTAACAGGGAGTACAGCTCCTCATATACATTTGACCAAAGAACAGTTCTCCTCTAGTAGGAATGATCATCCTCTTCAACTAAGCATGCAGCTTCGGGAGGGATGTGCATGAAGCAGTGAGGGAGGAAGGGGACACCTGCCTAACCAGCCAATAGGCCAAATCAACCTTACGATCAATGGGGTGACAGATGTCACAGTCAGATTGCCCTGACATCCAGCAATATTTATTTATTTATTTATTTGAGTTGGAGTCTCACTTGGTCACCCAGACTGGAGTGCAGTGGCTGCTCCTGGCCACCACAGCCTCGACCTGCTGGGCTCCGGCGATCCTTCCGCCTCAGCCTTCCAAGTAGCCAGAATTACAGGCATGCACTACCACGCCTGGCTGATTTTTTGATTTATTGTAGAGATGAGGTATCACTGCCCTGGCGGGTCTCGAACCCGCGGGCTCAGGCAATCCACTCACCTTAGCCTCCCAAAGGTGTGGGATTACAGGCTGAGCCATTGAGCCCGGCCAGCAATATTTTTAAAGTGCTCTTCATACGATGAGAAACAGAATGCTAGTGTTCCA